TAAATTAAATATTAGCGATTGTGGCGAAAAGGGCGAAAAAGCTTGGTTTTGTTAAGAGTGATTAGAAGAAGGGAAAAAAAAATTTCATTATTAAACAGGAATGAAGACAGCAACAACAAAACAGAAGCTTGATAGAAGGCTGAATCACACAAGGATGAGCTCAATCGCTAGTTAAATTGTATCAAGCGGCATGTGAAAAATAAATTCACTTCAACTCCATTTTTTTCATTCGTCGCTAGTTAGGAAATAATAGATTTCCATAAGCATCACGAATAGCCCCGAACTTCCCGGATGTGCGTTCCATAAGACGCGCCATCGATGCAAGAACTTCGCTCTTAGAAGCCAAGCTAAGATTCCCGTTCGATAGCACCGAGCCCAAATCTAAAGAAGGGCGAGCACGTCGCAGCTCCCACCACACCACTGCCTCTTCATTCTTCGCATGACTTGCATGAGGTTCAGACCCCTCTGAGGTTGTAGAATCGTCACCAGGGCGATGATCCTCCCGATCAGCGTCGTTCTTTGAAGAATTCACGGCAGAAGTCGTTACCACTGAGCACAGTTTCGCGGATCGAGATTTGGTCGCCTCTTTTTCGATAAAATAATGGGCGGTTTCGCGATCCACCGTGATGTGCACCTCGGTATCGGAAATACGTCGGAGAGAGCAGAGGGCACCCATCGCCACCTGCCGTAGCGCGCGCTCGAGGTCGTGGAATAACCTCCCCCCCCCGTCGCCGTTGAGGGGATAAAACCGGGCGAGCGGGCGGTCCGCGACGAGACGCAGCTCCACCTCCACCTCCTCCGCCGCGACGCCGCGTGTTTCCATCACATGCCCCCCCTGCCTAAAATTTTCGGTTTCGCTTTCATTCCCGCGAATTTTTCCCCCCGCCAAGGCCACGTAGGCGCGTCGCCCGGCCTCCTCGGCGGCCACGAAGGCTCCCCTTCCCCCTTCACACCCTTCCACGACGGTGCCGAGGGGCCGCCAACGCAGCGCCGCTCCCGCGATGAAAACCCCCCCGCTGAGTGCCCCCTCCGCCGCGGCCTTCGACGAGAAATCCACGAACGCGGCGCCGGTGCTCCGACGCGACCCCACGGCCCGCCCGCGCTTTCGCGACGCCGAGGAGGACGCCGGGAGACGCGGGTGGTCATCCCCATCCCCCGCCGCGGGAACGCGGAGGAGGAGGGCGTTGACGAGGCTGGGCAACGCGCGAGGGGGGAGGTGGACGCGGAGGTGGGCGTAAAACTCCTCCAGGTCGACCTCCCGCGGGATTCCCGTCAGCAACACGCGGTACACCGAGCGAGAGGTACCTGGAAGGGGAAAGGAACCCGTCGTCGACCTCTTCGCCTCTCCCTCTTTGGGCCGTGGAAGCGGAGGATGTGGAAACATAAGGAGGACCTTTTAACGTCGACGATCGGCGGTAATACTCTGTGAGGAATGCACTAAAAAGGAACAGGATGGCATCTCGACAAGTAGACGAAGGTGCACCCACCCCACACACACACAAAAAAAAAAAAAAAGACAAAAGAAAGAGAAAGAAAAAGAAACCCGTTTACGAAATAGAATCGTGTATTGCATCCCTCAAAAAAAAAGGAAAACTGCACATTGCAAGAGCAAGACCAGAGCCACAACAACCGCAACCCAACCAATAGAGGATTGGGTAATATATTTGTATATATTTATCTAGTTAATTTTATGGGCCGCTTCTCTTGGGGGAGGAAGGAGACAAAGCAGCATAGTTCGGCATTCATAGAAAATTTTCAGGAATACATATATATGATATATATATATATATAATCCGGATCTAGGTTCTATCAGTTTCAGAACACCTCTGCCTTGCCTCAGAAATACGCTGGGGGCACGTTAAAAAGAAATTAAGGAAACAAGCAAGCATAAAATACGCGCTAAAGCCTTGCCTTTACCTTGCTTCTTCACGCCATCAGCCAAACTGGTAGGACAAAAGAACCACACATCAGACCGTGATCGAGATCACCTTCCTTTCGCGCTACCTATCACAAAGTTTCCAAGAAATTCAAAAACGTCTTGACACAAATGCAAAAACACCTTATTTCGTATCACTCGTCAAACATCGATGAAGAATAGCTATCTTGACAAAAGTCAGATTCGAGTAAGCATCCACGAAAACAGGTATGTGCACACAGTGGCCCCTTAAAGAAACGTTAAGGGGAATAAACGAATGCAATCTCTTAAGAGTAGCATCTTATTTATCCCCCTTCACTTTTTAGTGGCAGTGCGATTTCCATGATGCGTCTTTTCCCTTTTTCTTCCTCACTTCTTAAGTCTTCCTCGGCACCCAATATACATTTTCTCAGAAATCCCATCCAGCTACCTCGACACGAGGGGCTTTTTCGAAATGAAACCCCCACAAAAAAAAACATTTAATACTACTTTCAGATTCAAATTACAAATTACCATTTTAGCCTTTCATACAACACTTAGGATGGGAAGCATAATAATCAAAACACGAAACACAAAAAAAAAAAACAGAAAAGAAATAACTTAGAACAGATCTATGCTTGCGCTCATTTACGTCTACCTCGCTCGAACCTCATATCAGAGAGAAAATTCAAAAGTAAGCAAGCTTGTGGGATAGATTTTATAAAATATTTCTCTACTCCTTCCCGCTTTGTGACCCCACTTTAAATTCATGAATGGTGTCAATTCTAATACTTTTTGTACAAAAAAAAAGAATGCCTTTTATTTCTCAATTTTTTAAAGCGTTCAGAACATTTTTTTTTCAGGACAAATCCGTTTTCGGGAAGGTGGAAATATTATCGAGTGTGTCAGTCCGCGATGCTAAGTTCGAAAAAGAAAAGTTATCCAGTTTCAATTTTTTCTCCGTTCATTTAAATAAAGCAAATCAATCTGCTACTTCAAATTCACCTAAATTTTCCTTCCTTATTAATACGTTTAACCACTTATAGCCCAAAAGGCGTCTTTCACCAGGATCAGACGCATTTTAATTTTCATTCGCACACAAATGCTTCGCATAATTAAGGATCGTGTGGAGAAAAATACGCCACCCTTCATACACTATTATCCCTTTTATCCTGTTTTTCGGCACAAAACTACGTCTCTTAATTTCCCCCTTCCCCCACCTTGTGGAGGAAGAAGGCAGGGGAAGGAAAGAAGTCGATATACTTCCAAAAGGTACTCTTCCTCCCTCCCCCCCTTTCCGTCTTAATTCTCATGAATTCTTGTCGAGACGGACATTCATCGCGCGGTTCGCCATCTCGATCCCGTCGAACTCCGCAATCGCGACTCGCGCCTCCTCTTCTGTCTTCATCACAATAATCCCCATCCCACGACTCTTCCCGTTCCGCCCGAGGATGATTTCGGCGCGCTCGACATTCCCCACCTGCTGGAATGTCTCCCGGAGGGCGTAACTCGTGCAATCAAAGGGCAAATTCGACACGAAGAGCTTCCGCCCCACCTCCGGGATCTGTTTACTGCGTGGTTTCGGCACCTGCTCCCCCGCGAGGTCGAGCATCGGCCCCGACCCGAGCGCGTTTTCGGGCTCCCCGAGTTGATACGGCCCCCCGGCCGGTCGCGCGCCGTAGGGGCGG